CTCCATTCGACCATTGCTATCCACCCTCCCCCTCTCCCCCCCTACCCATTCTCTACTAAAGTTTGTGATTGCCCGTTTCATATCTCCTATGTGCTGATATAGGTCCAGTTGGGTTTTCAAGACTAGCCATCTGCGTGTTATGCTAACTGGACTTGTTGAATTTGATTTATGATCTCAACTCCTTCTACGCATACTTTTTCCATGGTCAGTAGGCACCGCTGCCACCATAAGGCCCACAACACTGCTCGCCTCCCCAGCCATACATATTATCTGTGAAGGTCGTTTTTCCTGCAATGGCCAGTGGCCCACCAAGATCGCCTGCCAGGACCAGGGACAGGGGCTTTGTCTTCCCATCTTTCTCCACACCTTGTCCCACCATCTCCATGTAAACAGCGTGATCAGACATTGCATGAAAATGTGTTCTATTGTTTCATTCTTCTTGCAGGCTGGAAAATAAACGAAGGCATTGCAGACACCAGGGCAGTGCAAGACCTTTCTGTTCCAAATTGGTGTGGTTTATCAACCAGTCGTTGGTTGGCAGACATCGGTGTATTATTTGGCATTGCAAGGCAGTGATCTTGGCTGGTTTCGTCGTTTGCTCTTAGAACCACTTTATTGGTGTGAGCTGGTTGTGGTCTACATTTTGGTGTTTAGCCCATTGTTCCATAATGACGTCTCTCAGCTTTCGCTTGAGTCTTAACATTCGGTACGCAGATTTTACTGTCATCTTTTGCAGGCTGGTCTGTTTCGAAGGCGGACCAATTTGCCTTGAGGGGGGTCTCCACTGCCATTCTAGCGGGTCAATGGCAAGCTCGTGAATGCTTCTCTGTGGCTGGAAGACCACCTGTCCCCCCCCCTCCTCCAGGACCCTGACTCTGTACAAGTTGTCGGCCAGTCAGGCCGTCTCGACTCCAAGTCGACGTTTCCTTTTCTGTTGCAATTTCCTTATGGAATTCATGCACTTCTGCAAGAATTACTCGCGCCCTAGAGAGAGCACTAAGAATTTTGTTCAACGGTTGAGAATTCCAAAATTTACGAACATTTGTTTTTGTTGACACGTCATTTATTGCATTTAGAACTTCTTGCACCCTACACCCCCATATTTTTTTATTTTTTTTTAAAGTATGTTTAGGGGTAAAAACAAATAATTGAAAAACCAGACCGCGGACTGGGCCTCATATGCTGCAACCGCGGCCGCTGCCGAGAATCCCGGCCGCAGCGGCCGAAATGCCCGCGGCCTAGGCCGCGGGTGTCACATAGGGTTGAGGTGCAAGGTCGGCCTCTCCCTGGCTCCTTCCAGGAACAGCAGCTGCGTCAAGCAGTTGAGCCCAGGACGCAGGTGGTTGCGCCCTGGGCACACGCAGTGTGAGGCCGACACATCCCAAAGTGGCCACGGGCCAATGAGAATGCAGCATTGTCGTCACACGGGCCAATCCGAACACGGCAAACACTTGGAGCCTGGAGGCTACCTGAAAGTGCCCACCCAAAAGGGGCCCAGGCCCTTAACTGTAGAGGTGGGCCTGGGCCCAGACACTGGGGCCCGACCAGAAGCTACTGGAAACTTCCCGGCCAGGCCCACAAATCCAGGAAAGAGGCCTCACCTCCCATAAAGGAAGGGAACTGGCCAGGGAAGGGTATGGAGGCCTTAGCAGGCAATGCAGACACGCTGCTGCACTACTGCACTGGTGTCTGCGTTAGCTGGCTGGCCGAGCGCAGGCACACTGAGGTGAGGGGCACTGCAAGGGGAGCGCCGTGCACAGCAGCCAATGCCCGCCATAGCCGGGCTGCAGGGGCAAGAAGGCAGGTGATGGCAAAGCTGATCTTCGAGTAGGAGGTGCGTGAGGTCTGGGGTCCAAGTGTTAATGAGGGGAGACGAGAGAACGTAGGTGGTGTATGTGGGAGGTCGGCGTTGGTCTTAGAAACCGAAGTGAGCCTGTTGCACGAATGTAGATAGGATAGATATGTTGAGTAGAGTAGGCTGGGCACTGGGCGCCATACAGTAGGAGCGACATTGGATACTGGTGTGGCCTGAGGGCTTGGACATTGGCTCGCCTCAGGGCTTGGGCATTAGCTCACGAGTTCATTGTATCGCTCTTATTTGGATGGAATCTTGGTGCATTTGAGCTCTCTTCTTGGTACATGACTATCTGGACTATGTGCGTGATTATGCAACTTGGTTTTCTGTTTATGGCTCTCGGTCATATTCCTTGCACAATTGTGCACTACCTCAAAAAAAAAAAAAAACAGAGAAGAAAGAGTGAGCATTCCCGTAAACTACTCTTCCCGGGAAGAGGAAGCCCAACGCCCAGACATATCGGATAGAAAGCAAGGCTGCCAGAGTGGCCCGGGGCCACTTGCCCGGCCGGGCGTTTTTTTTTTTTTTTCATTTTAATTTGGTAAAGAATTTGGATGTGACCCGGAGGCAAAAGTTTCCGTTTCTTTTTCTTCATAACATTTCTTTTTTTTTTTTCTTCTTTTTTGCTGGGACCTTCCCTGGTCCCTGCACGGCCGGGCCGCCTTGGAAAACAAGGTAACCCGGGCGGCCCGGCTAATAGCCTAGATAGAAAGTATATCAATTTTCTGAGTAATTTCTTCAAACATCGTGAACCGATTAGCAATTGAAGAAAATCGAAAGGCACCCCTTAGATTCACCAGAAGGAATGATAAAACAAGAATAGATTGTTTTTTAAAATTTGAAACAATCGAACGTGGCAACTCATCTTCATTTATTTTATTTTATTTTTTGTTTCCAACAGAAGACTGTATGAAGGACAGCTCCCCGCTCAGGGGAAGCTCTCTACCGTGTTTGTCCGAATACAACAAACGGCCACGAACGCTGTATCTATTCTATATGTTGGCCGAAATACAGTTATAATGATCGTGCTCTATCTATTCGGTGAATAAACGAACGCTGTATCTAGTCTATATGTTGGTCGAAATACAGTTTTAATGACCGTGCTCCATCTATTCGGTGAATAAACGAACGCTGTATCTAGTCTATATGTTGGCCGAAATACAGTTATAATGACCGTGCTCTATCTATTCGGCGAATAAGCCCCTAGGGTTCAGCTGATGTTAGGAAATGCCCCCCTGCATGATTGCTTACACCCGATTGTGCATTAGGGCCTCGTTGGACCACTCGCCATCCGCCAACATTTGGAATGAATCTGGATGTGCGGGCCGCCCAGATCCACTCAAAACTCTTGGCAGATGGCGCGTGATGCAACCACACCCTCACGCTAAGGTACATTGTTATGATCTCATCACTATCATAACTGCAATTGTATATATCTCAGATAAACACGAAAACACTTGTGTTGCTATTCCTGATTTTGATTTCAGACACTTCTCATTCATTTTTTCGACCGCGCAATCCGATCAGTACTGCGATCCCGATGGCCTCCAGAGAATCAGAGATATCAGGCCCTCGCCCTCGAGCAAGCCCGGACTAGAGCACCCAAAATTGACAGAGAGGAGCACACATGGAAATACAAGAAGACCTCTCAGACTGAAGGACGTTCCAGACCCTCACACCCGACGAAGGAACGAGAGGAGCACTCGGAAATAAAAGAAGACATCAGCAGGTCGTTTGAAACCGTCGTCTCGCACAAAGCGAGGACAAGTACGCAACCAACGAGAAGAGAGGAGAACCGTGATTACCAAATAAATACTACTACGCACTCCCGAATTTGCAGAGTGACGATCTCCGCGAGACAAAGGAACACACAAGAAGCAATTCCAGTCGAATTACAGCATCAATCAATTCCTTATTCAAATACCAAACAGCAGCGAAGGATGAGAATAATGATTAAATCGTGATTAAATAGTTCGATTAAAAAGTGTGATTTAAATAGTAATTAAATACTGGATTCAGTAGATTTAAACCACCAGGATGAGAATAGTGCGATTAAAAAGTGTGATTAAACAGTAATTAAATACTGGATTCAATAGATTTAAACCACCAGTTCTTGGCCCAGCTATCCGCCTCCAAAAAAAACTAGAGTAGAAACGTTTGTAGTCGGATGGGTTTGGGCGCTTCTGTAGTGGCCCATAATTTTCCTAAAATTGTGGCTTGTTGAAGGGGACAACTTTAGGAAGGACTGGTGGTTAAAGGGTAAGTTTCAAAAATAGCGCGTCACAGCAAAATATTGGCGGGGGCCAAGTTTCGCTGCAAAAATATATCTTTCGTTGCAGCTTTAGAGGACCCGGTAGTTTCA